ACATTTGTACACATTTCTTATTCTAAGAATCTTCTTTATCTGCCCTACCGCTAATATAATTTTTCAACCAAATTTGATATATTCTTTTTCTCCTTGTATCAGTTATCAACAGGTCTTTATAATTTTTTTTTTTTTTAACATGAAATCAAGATTACAGAGTTATGGTACATTCATTTTTTTCCTGACCCTATTGACACTTAGGGATTGGTATTGGCTAATATAAAAGTATAGTCAAATGGAAGTGTTGTGCACAGCATATATGTCAAATTTATGTCGTGAAATGGTGTCCTTCCTAAATCTAGCTTATCAGAATAGGAATGAATTACCAAGCACAAGTATGGGCTTTTCACAATGATAGTTTCCAGGCTTAAAATTAAAGTTACTTTCCTCATGAACATTTCCCAAAATCTGCTGGCCTGCTAAAATCCTCAGCCCTTGTCCTGACAGATCAACCTGATAAAAAGGAGGAAAAGTACATTAATGACACAAACAACCAAGCTTATTCCCACATGTACACCTTCCTGTATCCTGATAGCTGATACTGAACATGACATTTCAGATATGAAGTATATGCCACAAATTTTTCATTTCCCCACATAATTATTTCATAATGGTGTTTAGAAGTTATGGAAAATGGTTGGGTTGAAATATATTTCAAAGATTTTTCAGCTTGTTACAGCATTAGTGCAAAAATGGAAGACAAACCTGTGCATTCAATGCATAACTTGAGTTTTAACAATTACCCAAATACACAATTTAAAAAAATACCCAAGCCTTGTCAAATGACTTCAATGTTTGAATTTTCTCATAGCGAACCAGTGAAAGTCTTTGTAAATGAATTGTTTCTTTAAAATCAATGACATTTGCTGTTGTCTTTCTTGTTAACATGTTGCCACAATTCCACCTTCGAGGAAATTTCTTTTCTGCTGACATGAGAGAGTACCACACCAAAGAAAGTATCTTTGTTCAAGACCTACGAATCATCCTCTTTGTCATGGAAAAAGGCTTCTAATTGAACACGGCAAAGGAATTTTTCAACATCTTGATTAACTGAAAATTTACCATGAAAACCTATAGATGTTTAAGTAGTCTATCATGAGAAAGTAAGAAATTCCAAACTATCTACACAAGGCAGTCAGCAGAAAGTAACCATATTATCAATATCCTTGGTAGAAGGCAAGAATGGAGAGGGGCATCACGTTTTCCCTTCCACACAAACCCTCTAAGACTACTCTGGGACCTTAAGTCACATTAAATTGCCTTAAGTCATCTAAAGTTGCCTAAAGTGACTATTGGTTACACAATGTTATATGGGCTCCATCCTAATCATAAGGATCAGAGAAGGAGGCATGGTGGCCAAATGGTTAGTGCACTGGACTCTAGATCAAGCAGTCCTGTTTTGGTCCCTGGTGGGGATCATTGCATTGGGTTCTTAGGCACAATATTAACTCTCAAAGTGTCTCATCTCTTCCAGATGTAAATATGGGTAGTAGTTGGTGGGGAATAACCCTGCATTGGACTGCAAGTCAATATGAGGTTGGTAATGGCTTCCATATTTATACATGTAAACCTCCTGTTATAAGAGTCATGCACCTGCCTAGCACCTATGATAGCATGAGTAACTCCTACTTGTAGACAATACTGATATATGAACTAATTATGACAATGTACTCTCTTCCTTTTTCTTACTCAGACAACCATCTGTTTAAACCAAATTTCTGTTTTGTATTTCATTTTGAGGGATCAAAAGATTGCCACTGTGTATCATCATGAGGAAATAATAAATATTAAAAATATGATTGATCTCAGGAAAAAAGACAACAAACGACTATGGCTGCAATAATTTATTTATTCTTCTTTTGAGATGTTACTGAATCAAATCAAACCTACAGTTCCGATCATCAACATAAAACAAAATAGAAAGGTATTCTGGAGAAAGGCACAATTCTTGCTACTCATTCTTACATTGAGCAATAAAAATAACATAGTCCGAAGTAAATTGAGCTGAACTGAAGCTTACGTTTAGACACTTTACTTACCCAGAGTAAAAGAGTGACAAAAGTGGGCTATTTTTCCAGCATGAACCCGCAAATCTGCACTATAGCTTCTTCCACCATCGTATTCGACAAAATATAAACGTTTGAAATTTGTAACTCGACGAACCCACTAAAGGCATAAATCTTCATCTATCTTAAGATTTTGACAGTCTTTTCGTACATTTTACCTTCGTCAGTTTGATGATTCACATACATGTATGAGCCCCGTCAATGATCTATGCCGAGAAACTTATTTGCTGCAAACATGGCTGCCAGGCCAATATTGGATTAGGATATTTCGTGTTGGCGAAATGATGTAGAAGGATATTTCGTGTGTACATAAACCATTAGTTTTGTGTGTTCGAGTAAACGGTTTTAATTGAAATCAGTGCGTGTGTGATTGTACCATTTTTTCCTCAATTCGTTTGGCCTTCTTGTGTTTCTTCGAGTTATCAAAGACGATAAACATGGAAACAAGTTAGCACAAAGGTTACTGGGAGAATCAACATGGCGGAGACAAGTGAACCTGTTATCAGTTTATAGTTTTTCTTTGTGACTCGTCAATTAGGTAATAACGAATGCTTTTAAACCTGTTATACTGCCATGTCAGCTCAAAAATAAAACTTATTTCATTTTTATACTAAAAAGATGTTCTAAAAAGATTTGATTCTCTATTATGGGACGCCAATATTTTTCTGCAGCCAGGAAAAGTAGTTGTTGAGACTGGAAAGAAAGGCTTCTTACGAAGGACCTTAGCGTATGGTTTTCAATATGGCATTGGGGTGTTTTGTCATACTGAGGTAGGAGAACATCAAATTGGCTGGGTCCCCGAAAAGGACCAGGCCATTACTATTGGAAAGGCATGCGATTTGCTAAACTTCCATGCCGAAATTGACAGTATAAGTGCCAAAAAATGGGAGACAAGTTGAGTATTTTTATACTAGTGAAGTTTTATGAAATAGTTAATAGTGTAAATAATCTTAAGTAAGTTTTGACGATAATTATGTGGAAAATTTATTGTCAGTAGGTGAGTTTTACGTAAATCATGGCTCTTTTCTTAAATTTAAAATTTATCTCGCCATGTGCCTCTTTATAGGTTTGTTTAATATTGGTTTCTGTTTTGATATTATTACACTAGGCATATAACCCATGATTTTTCTTGGTTATTTATACACTAGCTTTGGCTATTTATACATGTATGTAATTAAACAGTAACTATTGTGGTAATTCTGACTAAGTATTTTTAGTTAAAATGGTTTGAAATCTGGATATTTTAGACAATGGTGACTTGTGTGGATACTAAAGTTACCAAAATAATTATTCCATTTATTACACCCATTTTGAAATCGCTGGTGGTCCCTGTCATTTGATTGGCTCTAATTGATGGAATTTATTCATGAATCACATCAATTTTTTTTTTAAATCACATCTTTTTCCTAGCCAATGAGGAGGCTACTGTAAAAACAAAACAGCCAATCAGATTTCAAGGCTTGTTTAAAGTAACCAATCAAATTGCAGGAAAATGAAAGAGTACCATGCCAAATTTTGCAATTTTTGTTTCCAAAACTTCCCCAAAAAAAAAAAAAAAAAAAAAAAAAAAAAAAATGGATGAATTTAATTTTAGACTGGCTCAGTACTACATCAATAAAATATTTGAACTGACCAAGTACTGTATTTGGGCGATTTCAAAATGGATGTAAGAAAGTGGTGTTTCAGCCTGAATTGCACTCCACTCAGTTTAACACTTGAGTCAAATAAAATCACTGTCAATTTTTCTTAGGTCGCCCAAAGTAGCCCAAAAATTAATAATGTAATGTCCCAGAGTAGGCCTCCCTGTGTTTCAATTTCTAAGTTGGAAAAACCCACTGCATTGATTTAGACGGTTGAGGATAATCTCAAGGTCAGCTTTGGCTAACCTTAAACTAAGGAATTTTATTTGTAAATGTGCTCTTTCCAGGCTTTTCTAAGGATAAATCTGGCCAAGGGTTTAGATGGTAGTGTTACTTAAACCCAGCAAGAGACTAATCATTGTTGTTTATTATCAGCACACCTGTAATAAGTATCTTAAAGCTATTTCATAGCATTGCATGTAAATATGTACATTTTTTGATACAAAATAATCTTAACTCTCTATCAAGAAAAGTATTAATTATAAGCAATATATGTTTGGGGTGAAAGGGGCATTTTTGATATAGAATAACGTTCTTTCAATTGGCTAATTAATGCCTGGCACTTTTCACTTTACACTGCAACAATTCTTAACACAAGCAGCTGTGTACTGAAGTCTTTTTAGCACATAGTTTCTTTCCTTTGTGAGTGAACCTATGTAGTTTTTTTTAAATCTCTTTGAAACTAGAAATGAATTTACTAAATAGAAATAGAATAAGTAGAAAGAGTCTACTATTGCTAATTTAATGAAAGCATCTAAGGATTACTGTGAAAAACCCACTTGTTTTTGAATAATAACAAATGTTTTGCTTTAACTTAAACTCAAAACTGATAAATGACACTCATCTAAAAGTTTATTATGTTATTTCAAGCGATAAATTAGTTCTTTATTCTGTTTACAAGACACATCTACAATCATAACCGAAATATGCATATATGTAAAATATGGAAACCAAATCCACAAGTGCACTATTCTTTCGATAGAAAAAGTTCTGAGTGTGTAGTCTCCTCTCACTCTGTATCTTTCTTGTTTGGAAGCAAGATTGAATATCGAATTTGCAATATTTGGACGGTCGTAAGTTCTCAACAGGTTTGATTTTCTTGATTTCAGTTAGGTTGATCCAGAATGTTTTTTTCCAATTTTAAAGACTTTCTAATGCAAGACACAAAAAGCTTCGCTTGTAAAATGAAACTATTAATCTCTGAAAAGGTGCTATTATTTTCTTTTGAGCTGATTAAATTTGAAATTTGGGTATTTCGTTAAAGCGCTACTTCAAATTCTAGTCTAGCTGCATTTTTAACGTCGCCTTCTACCTCCACCGTCTCAGCGTCGTCGTCGTCATCCTCATCGATCCCCATGTTTTGAATTCCTTTCTCAGCTTCATTTGTCTGTATCTGCTGGTTGGCTGGTTTTTCATTGAGTGAGATGTCGGCTTCTTTTTTTGAGTTTGAGTTTTGTGGTGGCTGAAATGATGTATCCCCGGAAGATTTCACCGCTTCCAAGAAACCATTGGTGTTGGTAATATTATCTGTCGTGTCTGTGCTTCCAAGTTTTTCACTTGTGTCCATTACTGAGGGACGTCTTATAAGAGCGGGTCTCCAGCACAGCAAAGACAGATAAACAGGCATGATGCACAAGCCATGAAGAAGCCCGAGCATGACGATGCCAAAGAACATTCTGAAGAAAATTCGGAATATCTCGGATGCAGCAAATGCAAGTACAACCATACCAAGGAACGTACTGACTCCTAAAACATATCAAGAAGAAAAGATCAGCGGATGCTGCGACGTGCATAACACTAAAACCTTAAGTGATGGAAGTTACTAAATGCAGAAATTAATCTCACTTAAAGTGGTTCCTTGAATAAAACTAGGGATGGATTTTTTAATCAACCGCGGTACATGCGAGAAATTTTGATTTTATCAACTGAGTTGATAAAGACCATTAGACACTGTAAAGAGATTATAGAGCTGATGTTTTGAGCGTTAGCCCTCCGCTGGAGAAGATTGGCTCAAAACATCAGCTCCATAATTTATTTATGGTGGCCAATTTCCATTATCAACTCAATAGATCCAAATTTTCTTCTTATACCTCTCACTGAAACAGGGCCACAGACTTTTAAACTTGTTATACACTCCAGAAACACAAGAATGTCAATATGTTTGTAAATGCTTACTTCTCTCAGCCGTATTTTACAACAATTAATTCAGCTTCTGACGTACCTCCCATGAAAACACTTGCACCCAACGTGCTCAGAGCATCCACAACTCGCTCATCGGCTGTGACTTTGCTTGACGTAATGTAAGCATGGGCAATGTGGGCACTGTAGTCAACTGCAAATCCGATGGCCATTACCAGGTTAATCATGGAAACAGAGTTCAGAGACACATCCCAGATTACCATCAAACCAAATAACTCGCAAACCAGCGCTGCGAAGTTAAGCACCACCACGAACGTCACAGTAAAATCCATCAAAAAGGGGCTTGTGACAATTACCACCGTTAAGCCTGCGATTATCAGGTTTCTCAGGGTCTCGTGTGACGTAATTGCGTATTGTTCAAAGAATATAAAGGATCGAGTGATTGGAAAGGCATTCAGTTTGGACTTCTTTGATATGTCTTCACGGAGTGTGAGCATAGCGTTTTTCTGGAAGGTGGAGCTACCCGAATCCTTCATATAGCCTACTACGCGAGAAGCTTCTATTTTGGTCTCATCCTCGGATAACTTCACGTCCTGTGTGAAATACGAGAACTCGGGAATACGAAGGAATGTTTTCAATTCTCGTAGAAAACCTGGGCCAGTAATGTTTCTCTTCGACTTCTTAGCATACTGGGCAAATGCATCCATCCAGGATAGTGATTGGTTCTTGTAATATTCATTTTCCTTGAATATGTTCGTTAATTCTTTAATGTCGCTCTGCGTGGACTTCAATTGGTAATCAACCTCACCAGTCTGCACGATACTCACTCCAATGGACAGCTCAAAGTACTTTCCTTGAGCTGTCAAAAACTGCCTCAAGTAGGAATCATCTCTGGCCAATACACGTCTATCAAATGACTCATCCACCTGAGTGACTCCATATATCCCAGCACCAAGCAGTGACAGAGAGAAGAGTATAACCAGAACTTTTGTAACTGGAAGGGTCAATAACGTGCCCCAGTATTTCATAACTTTATTTGAAGTTTGGGGGAGAGGCTCATCCCATGCTGGTTTACCCTCTTTTGGCCGTGGTGCCAGGCAGAATGGGAGGAAATCTCGGCGGCCAGATTTAATTCGTCTAACGTCGTATGTCATAAGGGCCACAAAGAATGTGACAACCATCAGGAAGGAGAAAGTCACTGTCAAGGCAGCATAAACACAGAAATACCTGAGAAAAGAAAGTAACTAAGTTTTAATATAGACGATTTCACTGAAATACTCTACAACATTTGACGAAATTTTAGAACTTGGAAGCCAATTAAGTGACATTTCACGCCACCATTTGTGCTTACAGCTCAGTCATACAAGGGGAAAAAAGATGTCCCAAGAAACTGTAACCATTTTTATCAGAAAATCAATTCAATGGCTCCTGTCACAGCTCGACATCTCACTACAATAGTTTGCAGTTGAGGTTTTAAAAGAAATCAAAAGAGGTCACTTGATAAATCCGGATCCTTTAAACAATTACGCCATTGCTTAAAACCTGATGTTATTGTCTTCATCTTCCCAAGATGGAGAAGCACTGGCTATCAACTGAAGTATCTTACCTAATGGCGGGAAATGAGGTAGACGTGCTGACCGCAAACGCAACCAAATCAGTCATAGTTGTCATAGTAACTGTTGCACCAGAATGCTTCATAACCGCTTTGATCTTTCCGGTCGTCGACAGGTCACGTGGCTGCCGATCAAGTTCGTCGACCATGATGAACATGTCATCGATGCCGATTCCAAGAACCAAGAAAGGTAGCACCCCCACCAAACTAACAAAAGGTACACGGAGCCACATACCAAGGCCGAGCCCAGACAAAATCCCAAGGGCAACTGCGAAGACCCCTCCATTAGCAAGTAAAGCATGACCAGTCAACGGATTAAGGTACTTGCCCAGCATGAAGCAAGCAAAAGAGATCATGCAGGTGAATGTGATTGACACCAGTTTAACATCAGACCCGGTACTTGCACTTATAGCATCATCCAGGCTCCTTTCACTTGAATAATGGACATCGAAGCACGAAAGTTTGTCCACTAGCGAGCCTAGTTTGTCAATGAAAGCCTTCTCCCATTTGAGAATCTTGTCACTCTCATCATCGTCCCTCGGATCACGAAGGAGATAAATCATTTGCAAAGCTTTGGCGTCGGTTATGCTTCCATGTTTTCGAGTGGCCTTGCCAAACATTCGGTTGAAATTCAACCAGAATGGGCGTCCATTACGCATGAGTAAACTTGTGTCGTTGTAGGATTTGCTCAGTTCCCGTTGGACATCATGTAAGTCCTTTCCGTTCAAGTTGCTTTCATTGAACTGCAAAAATTCTAGTGGATTAATCATCGCACATCCGTTTGTTGACCTGGATTTGTTTCCCGACAACGTGACACAGAGGTCTGAAAACGATTTCAGCTCCATGACTGCATCGTGAGCTCTGAAGGCCTGTTTCAAACACATCGGGGAAAGAGGATTAGGATTACTGGGAGAGGCCACCAGTAGGATGATTTCCTCTCGAAAGTCGACTCGGAAGTATCTCTCGGCAGTCTCCAAGTCGTCTATTGCCTTGCTGTTTTGAGGGATAAACAGTTTTACGGTTCTATTTTCTGAATTGAACCAAACAAAGCCCACAGAACAGACGCTGACAAGTATGAGACACAACTGGATTGTTATCAGCGGATGTTTGGCGATCCCTGTACCATACCAGCCAAAGAAGCGTTCCAAAAAACGCAAGTACCATTTGCAGAGTGAGGACCACAGATGACATGGAAGAAACCGGCGTGGACAGCAGGGTCTAGAAAAAAACACACATCGAAAAGTGAATTTTGATATGGGTTTTTGAAGCATTTACTGGAGGAGAGTTGTCTACCAGTCCCAAAATATTTGAAACATTTCCTCGAACGCTCTTCCCCTCGACCTGAAGATTTTCAGCAGGTCTGATTGTGCAGGGTGCATCAAACATGGCAAGACATGATCTAGTCAACGGCTCTCTCATCGTGTTTTTTGCTATTTTTTAAATTTCTTTTTCTGGCATTAAACAATACCACTGTATTACAGATGACAAAGGATTACAAAGAAAAAGAATAAATCCAAGGAATACCTTGAACTTGCCACAGAAAGAAATGGAAAGACAAATAGCATATAATGCACACAGCTTGCTACATAGTTTTTACGACACGTGTAAATCTTATTTATGGCATAGCCATGAGCCAGCCACCCTTTGGGTCTGATCAGCGGTTGACAGCAATTTATCAATCAATGTACTATTGGATGCTTTACCTCAAAGTTTTAGTCGCAGAAGTACCTCGAGTTCGCTGTACGACCCAAAATGAGAGGCAAAACCTTAGATGGGATAAGTATCTAAAGAAACTGTGGTGCTGTCTTGGTGTTGTTATAACCATCACACTTCATCATTACGTAAACCTTGACCGAAAAGACGAGAATTGTTTCCGAGCGAAATTAAGAATTACTATTCGATCAGTTCCCTATCGAACTCTGAATCCTCTGACTACCAGAATTTTACCGTACAAATACCTAAAATCATCGAAGTCTTCCTCAACGTTCGCCCTCTCATCGAATCCTTTGCTTAAATTATTTTCTTCGCTTTGTGTCATCCTTTTTTCGGTTCTTCTCTAACTCCGAATATTTTGTTGCTGCACATCGCGTTCATCGAGATATTCCCACTGCCTTCTCGAATAAAAGCTTTCTCTAGAACATTTTTAATTAGTAATAGCAAAACAGGTTGTTGTGTAGTTTGAAACATCACGTGCGCACACGTACTATTTCCTTTGTCAAAACAAACAAGCAGATAAAAGTGTCAGATAAACCAGAATTTAACATCGAAGGTGTCAACTTCCTTATATTCACGAGTGAAGCCAACACGTTTCTGAATCGCGTAACGTAAACAAACTCACCGCTTGGTAGTTTTCTTTTTTTTTTTTTATCAAATAATAGCAGAACTATTCGTTCTCGAAACTTTCATTCCATCCTGAATTTATTATCACTGACACCTGAAGGGAAGAACGTCACGTCGCACAATCGTTTGAGTCACGTTTACCTCGAGTATTAGAATTTAAGGGGGGCGGGGGTAAGTTTCTAAAGAAACTGTAGTGCTGCGTCGGTGAGAGTAACGAGGTAATTTTGGTTTTATAGACTGAGTTGATAATGTAAATTGGCCACCGTAAAGAGTTTCAAAGCCGACGTTTCGAGCGTTAGCCCTTTGTGAGAGCGAATCATTCGCTCTCACAAAGGGCTAACGCTCGAAACAAATACCTAAAATCATCAAAGTCTTCTTCAACGTTCGCCCTCTCATCGAATCCTTTGCTTAAATTATTTTCATCGCTTTGTGTCATCCTTTTTTCGGTTCTTCTATACATCCGAATATTTTGTTGCTGCACATCGCGTTCATCGAGATATTCCCACTGCCTTCTCGAATAAAAGCTTTCTCTGGAACATTTTTAATTAGTAACAGCAAAACAGGAAGTTGTGTCGTTTGAAATATCACGCACGCACACGTACTATTTCCTTTGTCAAAATAATCAAACAGATAAAAGTGACAGATGAACCAGGATTTAACATCGAAGGTGTCAACTTCCTTATATTCACGAGTGAAGCTAACACGTTTTTGAATCGCAACGTAAACAAACTGACCGCTTGGTAGTTTTTGTTTTAATCAAATAACAGCAGAACTATTCGTTCTCGAAACTTTCATTCCATCCTGAATTTGTTATCACTGATACCTGAAGGGAAGACCGTCACGTTGCGCCATCGTTCGAGTCACGTTTACCTCGAGTATTAGAATTTAAGGGGGGCGGGGGTAAGTTTCTAAAGAAACTGTAGTGCTGCGTAGGTGAGAGTAACGAAGTAATTTTGGTTTTATGGACTGAGTTGATAATTTAAATTGGCCACCGTAAAGAGTTTCAAAGCCGACGTTTCGAGCGTTAGCCCTTCGTGAGAGCGAATCATTCGCTCTGACGAAGGGCTCACGCTCGAAACGTCGGCTTTGAAACTATATTATATTTTTAAGTTTGCAAGCATAATTGTTTTAATCCGTTTTTGATTGTGGGAACTTGAAGCGATCCAAATCATGATCACGATCATGATTAAGGTATGTAAGATGCAGCTGATGGACGTAGGTTGCAGTTATCTGAATATTCTTAGACAAACGATTTGTACAAAAAATAAAGGCCTTTTTTCCGATGCTTTGTTGTTATTTTCCTGTTCAATCGAAAACGGCGAACTAACACATTTTCTAAGATTTCACACGTACAAAAATGTATTTTCTCCCTCACGATGACATATCTTCGTTGATGCTAGTTGCTTGCAACTGTCACGCTATCGGCTAGTCTCTGATTGGATGATAGATAAGAACAATCCAATCAGAAGGAAGGACACGGAAAGTAGTAATCGCTTTTCCGACATATGTGTTCGGTTTCTTTACATGCAAGAACCAAACGAACAAAACAACATGAGTATGGTAGGCAATTGCCGAGCAATATTTCGAAGTTGAGGGAAATATGCTGTAAAGGACATTTCCACATTGGCAATAATTCGTGGGAGGAATTCCTTTTTTTTAACGATTATTTGCCGCAAGGAAACGTATACTGCCGACTTGTTATTTGTTTGCTTTGAGTTTCTGCCTCAGAGACTTCAAACATCGCGTGGTGGCTATTTTTATGGCACCTTGAGCAGGGCAATAACGGCAAGAAATAAAGTAATCCTCGCACAAACATTCACTACCTTCGAAAATCCAATATGCCATGGAGAAAAACGGGTGCTCTGTAGGAAACTTTATCATTTACCAACAACATAATCATCTATAATATTAATCAAACTAAAGTTAAAAAACTCTACCCACCTTGATTGGTCTGATTTCTTAACTTGTTCGAGTTCTGATTTGAATTTGCCCATGATGGAGCGAAAGTGACTTCAACAGTAGTGCTAGTCTTGCTAAAAATTAACTGATGAGTCCGACTCCTCTGGTTTATATGCTTTCGGTGCACGTGCCAAATGACAATGTTGCGCTTCAGCGCTCGACGAAGTAATTATTTTTAGCTCACACCGGAAGTTTTAAAGTCCATTATCCGCTCCCCATGACATGGACATGGTGATTCCGAGTGGAATCTCTACCTTAAAATATACGGAAGGCCATCATTTTTTTACTTTTGTCATGCGGCTTTTCAACTAACCTTTTCACAGCACTGTGGTGATTGGAAATTACGTAATTTTATGTAGCTAGCAGTCTAGTATAAATATATCTGTAAAGTTGTCCACGTTATCTAGGTTAGGTTAAGTTTAGCAAGTGAGTAGTTGTGTCTCTAGCGATTTAAGTTTTTTCCACGTTCTTTTTAAGCGTTTATCTGCGCTCCATTCAAACACAAGAAGCACCAAACGTGACTTAAAGGAAAGAGACCTTTATCTGCTTTCGCACCACGTTTTTCCAAAATAAAAATAAATTTAGAAAGTGATAGATGCATTTTGTTTACAAGGAAAGAACGGAAGTTCTGCATCGAAGTCGAGTAGTACGTGACATTTCCTTTAGAAATCATTGGAAATTATGTGTCATTGTTCGGTGTGAACGCTTCTCTCCATCTTTTCACTCTTTTTAGTAGACTTTAATGAGTTGCAAGTCTTTTCCTTCCGTAACTCCGCGCAGTTTGGGCGCTCGAATTGTTCAACCAAATAAGTGTTAGACACCCAAAATTAACTTATTTCTGTGGAATGATTTTTTTCGTTAATCCCTATCATTTCTTTTAAAGAACAAGTTAGAGATTTCGTGGACTTTACCGATTTTCTTTAAAGACAAGTTTGTTACTCTATGCATATTGTTAGCTTCTTTTGAAAGTAAGAAGAGTCTCAGTATTCATGGATCATTAAGAACGCAAATGAATAAATTGAATTCGCAGTGTTATCCCTGGCTTTTATGAGCCCGATAACACATTACAGAAAGAGAAAGCGCGGACCATGCTGCTTCTTTCTTAGGGATCAAGCTCGCCAATTGAATTGCTTGCGGGCAATATATCACGAGGATGAACCGTTTATTCGTGCAGCAAAAATCAAGCAAGAGGCACAAACCAAATTTTCACTTTATTAAGAGAACGATTCATCGGTTGATTAACTTGACCGTGGATAACAAAACTTTCTTGCATAGTCCACAGACTAGACAATGAATGGTGTTTAGGGAGTGCATATCCAAGAAATAAAATATGGTCGTTACCATACGCTGTGAACAGTCAATTTTTCCCCTGAAGCAAACATGAAACGCATACGACGTTCGTGATTACCCGCCTCCAGCACAAAAATGTGATTTGATTCGATTCCCTTCAACTTCCCTTTCAAATTAAGTTGTTTTGCCAGTTAACGAAGAGTATCATTCGGGATTAAAATATTTCGCACAGTAAATTTCCTTACAGCTATCGCATTGTGTTTGGAAATAATAACAAACAATAGAGCGGACTTGTCAGGAAATACTGAAGAGAGGCACGTACTTCTCACTTACCTTTCTTGAGTAAATGAGGGGGAAATGTGTGCTTACAGCAAATGAGTTGATCCATATTAGACCTAATAGGACGTTCCAGAACATAAAATACATACTGACATTTTATCAAAAGTGAAATTAAACCTACATTGGGAAATTCAGCAGCAAAATAGACGCTTATTTTTCATGGAACGGCCCGGATGGGATATCACAGTTCATCCGCCTTCCTCCCTTCAACAAAGCATGAAAACCTGACAAGGAAAAAAAGCTATGACCCCGTTACATCGATAAAAAAAGTTTTTGATGATCACAATTCTACCAGTGTTCCTCTATTGCTATGCCCTTCAAAGCTTCCGCGTTATGTTGAAGGTATAAATCAAAGGTGGTTTTCCCCTCAGTACCATTTTTTTCATTTGGATTCATATCAAAGGAATACGTCGATTACTCACCACAAATCGTTTTCTAATGGCGGAAGTTGAGGCAGGTGTTGCACTTGCCGATATCTCAAACAAGCCAGGAGAAAGGTAGGTGTGCTTTTTATCAGACACCTGGTCATATAGATGATTTTTTTAAAGAAAATGCACGCCAAGTTGATTCAGTAATGCCAATCACTATCAAACTAGCACTGTTTACAACCAGCAAGAAGCTATTTTAAAAGATATAGTGTTTCGTTTCCGGGTTAATAATTGTAGTGGACAGCGCGACCTTTTTTTTAATATTTAGAACGTATTAATTCAGCTGAAATTTCATCGGCCTGACAGATGTCCGTTCCTTTTCTACTGTATAACTTTCACCTTATTTCATAGCATTTCACTCCTCAAGTATTATTTTTACTTCAAGTAACACTGCTTTGTATTTTCCGTGAATCTTCTCCAACATGTAACGAGGTTACTCCTGTAGTGAACATGTTTACCTCTATATTCTGCTATCGTTTAAATGGCTGATGTCTGGTTTTTGTCGAATGTTTTAATGACCAAACTTGGTTACGGCCCACTGGGTTTTCCGAAGTTGTTTACATTACCAATTACCGCGAAAAGAGATAACTAATTCACATTTTTCGACGAAATGTAGCTTTAATCTAACCTAAAATCACAAAATCGTTAAATGTTTCTATTCGTGATACATTCGCTTCCTATTTTTTGTAATTTATTAAGATCGCGTTTTTGCAGCTCGGGGTTGTTTACATTCTCTTTTACCGAAACGTCATTTAACCCGCTAATTAAATGGCTCTCTGTGAAAGGAAACTTCTAATTTCATATACTTTGTTTAAAGATGGCGTTTGGTGACTCTTTTTAAAGGCAATATCACTGCTCAATTCTTTGAAGTTTACTTCAGTAACCTAAAACGTCATTGCCTTCTCGCAAGATCGACATATGTGCAGATATATTAAAATGCTGTTGTTGTTTTGTTTCGCATATATTATATTAGTATTTGCCTGGGATCATTTTTTTTTCTCGAGATACCGCTTTCTCCGTTTATTTGAAGTTCCGGCAAGGGTGACTCGAAGCAAGGTTTCGTTTGACGTGATTTTTATGCTCACTGTTTTGTGTTCTAAGCTGTAAAGTTGTCGATCATCTGTCAGAGTAAACGTTTAGCACGCCTGATAAACGTCCGCTTTACCTGTGTTATATCCGTGATAATAGTGTGGAAATAAATGCCACACATGAAACAAGAAGAAAAGCTTAACCTCTAGCTGAAATAAACTTCCTTACTAAGAAACTCACAGCGATGGTGAGCCAAACATTTCGAGCAAATGATTCACTTAAAACAGTGATGATTATGAACACATAAACATGGAGGACAGACTGAAGAGAACCTTCAATAAACACTAGTGATTTAACCTACACAACAATATAAAGTATTTCAAAAGTTCGTATTAGGTTTTGTCTCTATTATGACAACAGTAGAGCCGGGTAGGTTATTTTTCATTCCCTCATTGGTTCGAAATGTCTACTTTGAGGCTGTTAGCTGTTACAGTGAGGGGTGGCCTTCCCTTCCGCTAGAATAAAGATATAATCATCAAGGAGCTTTGTAAAGGGGACTGTTCACTTTGTTGGAGAAAAAGTCTTTGGCGAGCTTAAAATTCGCGCCAACAATGATTTGCTGGCCTGGGTATGTGTCTGCCTTCAAAAATCTTTAGTTCTGGAACAAAGTTTGTGTGTTAGTATCAGGTTTTGGCTAAACCCTCTGCAACAAAGAGCTTATCAAAAACAGATTATTTGTGTATGATTATATCATACCTGCAAACAATTTTTTTAACCTCTTCATGACTGTTCTCATTGTAAATGATGCCATGAGGAAAGCTGGAAAGTAGATCGGTATTCTACAAGTGTCATTAAAGCTACAAAATAAAATGAGTTTCCCATCTACTCCTTCCAATAATTCAAAGAATAAACTTCGAGAAGTTTTCGTTTTCTTCCAGGTATCTTTTGATTTTTAAGGATTACTTCTTTCTGTGCTTCTACAATTGAATTACACTGTCCATTTTCAATATAAGTGATAAATGTAGACAGGAGAATATATTCTCGTGATGTGGAACGTTGATTTCTATAATTACCTCTCTACATACATCCCTAGATAAGTTTATTCATCTGCTGAAGGAAATCTTTATAAACTGTGACTATCACCGCCTTGCTTCTAGATTTTAGGATGATTCAAGATTTTAGGATATGAATCTGTGAAGTTGTCTCAGACCTCTGCTCTTCGTGATAAATATAGGATTCTTTAAAAAAATGCAGAAAATTAGATTGAAATTGACTTTCATTCTGTCTATTGAGTTAAAATATACTGAAAAATGTTTGACAAAATGTTTGATATTTGACTAGAATGTATTCATAACTTTAATCTTATCAATGTGTGAATCATTCTGTTTTGTCCGGTTACTTGACCTTTGAGCCAGAATATCTTCGAACCATTCCCAGACGCATTAAGTGCTAAGGCTTATTTTGCGACCTTAGGCTACTGCAACTTTAGGCGAATGAAGGAACCATGAGGTGACTTATGAGAACTGAAAGCAACGTGACCCTCCTAAAGATACTTAAGCAATCTAAACTTTCTTTACTAAGATGGCTTTCTTTTACACCATTTATCATTTCTTTTCCACTGTTATATCAGGGTCACGTTTTACTTTTTTTGCAATATCATGATTCAACATGCTTAAATAAAAAAAATTGCCGTTAATCAACCAAATACAATTTGGTATAACCAGAAAACGTGTTCAAATTGGTCAATAACAAAATTTCTAAAGCCCCAGGGCCTGCTGGGAAGTTCAGTGTCTAGTCTTCCTTAGCTTGCGAAAGCCTAAAATAGAACGCCTAGGATATTTTTTGCAAGATGGCGGGCACGTGTAAGGTGAAAAGAATTTTTCATCTTACTGTAATTGATTTCGGGATCAATAGCTTTGAAATTTGGTACAGAAACAGACTGACGTGGAACATTTTGATCCAATAAGAATAAGGTAAAAGGGGATTATATTTATTTAGAAAACGGAAATTGAATTCGCATTTGCCGAGATTTTTAACTCAGTCAGATCAGAAGCAGTAAGATTATAAGCTTCTGGTTAGGTATAATATGGTGTCCTTCAAAGCAAAATTGCAAAATTCGCAAAACCGAACCGAAAGTTAAATGTTTTATGCTAGACAAAGCCTTAGGAAAGGTGTGATTTAACCATAAACAAAGTGATCTGTGAACTCGATTTCTTTAAAGAGCTCCTCACACACACTGAAATTTTTACGCATCTATAGCGACTTAAATTGCAAAAGTTCACCTATGAAGTAAGAACACCTTATTAGGGAACAGATCGTCAGATCGCAAGTCCTATATCCAGAAACCTACTTTTCCTGACATAATAATTTTGAGCAAGATAGCTCACAATCCGGTAATTCTTTGAAGAGAGACAATATCGACCTACAAAAGTCGATGGTGAAATATGTCTTTAACTGGACCCACCTAATGAAGTAAGGGTCGGTCAATATTTTCTTGCTTTCTAACAGAAGCCTTAAACTTCTAGTTACGGATTCCTATTTTGTAAAGAAAGTTCTTATTTACGCTTAGATCTCATAGGATTTACAAGAGAAGGAAGAAACGATGGCTGAATATCAGGCTGTCCTTTCTGCACAATTTTTTTCCACCAACTGTTAAATAGGTCTAGGTAGAAACACGAGAGTGCAATTTTTGATATGCATTGAGTGTTGATGAAAGAGAACTTTGCTTGTTAATATGATAAATTTACACTCCTTAAAAATTTACTTTGCCTTTTTTCTCAGTGCTTGTTTTGTACCATAATTATTTGTTCAGGTTAGTAAAACTGAGCAGCGTAATGACGGATAATGACTTCAACTGACTGACAAAACGAAGTCGATCAGATACCCAGCTTTTGTAACTAGAGGGAGGCGCTTCTTTTTTTGTGTCAAGGAAACCGCTTTTCTGTGCGTTGGTTTTGCATAAACACATTTCGCTCATCGGTAATACTTTTTTTGTACAATTTCCCTTTAAAAGCTAATACTCTTTTTCATCCCATTGGCGTTTGGCCCAACGTAGAATCTCACAGTTAAAAGGATTAACAACTCTTCAAGTACAAATATCTTCAATTTGGATTGAACTAAAAAATGCGAACATAGTACAAAAATGTAGCTAGGTGGTCTACTATTAGGCTCGCCAACCCTGACACTGGGCACTAGCTGGACTTTGAGAGAATTGACATTCTACGACAAATCTAGGGGTTTGAAGAAAAAATGCAGACCTCCTTTTGTCAATAATTAGAAAAAGACTTGACGCCTAAGTTTTTAATATGATATCGCTTTCGCTTCACAACATCCCGTTCTTGCGTCTAGGTCCTATGCAGTTCACAAGAAACGTAAAAAACGCCTCCATGGGTGCGGGGCTATCACCTCAGGACGAAGAATCAAAGCATTTCTTGTTCTTACTGCTTATCAAGGAGCCTTCGAAAGATTAGGGCATTTCCTTGCATGCAGACCATTAGCGGTTCTTCTGGTTTCGTTCATTGTTTTGATTGGAAGCTGCCTCGGATTCATTCGCCTGAATGTTGAGCAGCCCACCATTGAGCTTTTTACATTCGCCAACAGCAAATCTAGACAAGACTCGCATGATTCCGCACAATTCTTTCCGATTCTTGAGGCACGACAAGAACAAGTAATTATGATACCCAAGAATGGGGACAGCATTCTAAGTGAAGAATGTTTAAAAGACGCCATTATGGTTCACAGAGCCATAGTAAATATCAGCGGTTACGTCAATATATGTTTCAGGCAGCAATCGCCAATTGCCCAACAAAGAAGCACAGAGAAAAGCTGCAAGATCAGCAATCCTCTTGAGTTAGCTGGAACGCATTTTCAAAAATTAGAAAATCTTTCCTCGATCCTGGCTCGCGAGTTGGTAAAGCCTACTAGTGTTCTTTCCTCTGGAAAAACATTTAATTCCTCCTATCAGCAAATGCTGGCCAATTTCCACATAGAACGGAACAAAGATCAATTGACTGCCCGTGCCGACGCTCTTCGAACTATTTACTTCGTAAGAAAGACAACCAGCACAGAAGACTACCAAGACATAGAAAAGTTTGAAGCCTCCTTTAGCAATCTCCTTGATTCAATGGGTCCTCGCATGAAATGTGCAAAACTCTCCTACCAGACTGAGAGAACAGCGACTGATGCCTTGCAAGATATACTGAAACCAGAGCTATGGCCTCTTTGTTTTTCAGTCGTAGCGATTGCTGTCCTTGTCTTCACTGTCATACCCTTTACTTCTACCAATGCCGGTTGTTTAAGGACAGTCCTCTTGATGTTCTCTTCTCTTGCTTTTCCTTTAACCTGCTCTGCAGGTGTTGTCTCCATAACAAACTCTGCCTTTTCCTCAACGTGCCTCTTTATACCCTTCTTACTATTGGGGAAAGCAACTACAGACGTGGTACTTTACCTCATGGAATGGGAAAGGCAAAAAAAGGTGCCATCACTTGAACATCGCGTGGGAAATTGCCTGGCTAGAACAGGGGTTCTTGCTATGATTACTGCGCTTTGTGGGTCAGCTCTTTATGGAGTGGGAATCAAATCCTCTTTTAATGCCATTTCCAATTTTTCCTTTGCAACATTTGTTGCTTATGTAACATTTTCTGCTTCTATTGTGATCACAATCATTGTGTTGATGTATTTTGAAACAAAGCTTAAGAAAGTGAACACGCCCTGTGCGACTACATGTGAAAGAAGATTGTCCATCTCTGAATTTGGAAGCGCTGAGCTTAGACTCTCACAGTGCCATAAGACAAGACTGCAACGCATTCTGAAAGAATGGGCTCGAAAAATAACATCCACCGGCGGCAAAATTTTCTCCCTCGGAATCTTTGCCCTTCTCATCACTTTAGTTGTTTTCTCCGCTTTTCAAACTGGAGACAGAACGCGTGCCACACAGTTGCGCTATCGGAGTGAAAACTTCAAGCAGTTTAATAAGGCACGACAAATGTTCCTAAGCAACGAAACTGATGTGAGCATCGTTTTCTCCAAGGAAGTCGACTATTCACTAAAAAGTGTACAAAATCAAGTAATGTCAGTGTGTAAAAAACTGGAAGAGGCCGCTTACAGTAAAGGAAAGTCCCTTTGTTGGATGGCAGGCTTTCTACAGTGGGTCAAACATCAAAACATGAGCTGTTCACATTCAGAGTTTCACCGTTGCTTGGAACTTTTCCTGAAAAATTCCCAGAGTTTGCTGTTTAGACAAGACCTGCTTTTAGAAGATTCTACATCTCTTGTTAAAATATCGGCGTCTCGAGTTCATCTGAGGATGACACTGAACAACCGATTGCGAGAAGATAGAGAAGCCCTTAGGACACTGAGAAGTGATTTACATGAACAGTCCTCCTTGAAAGGCGTCCCAATCTCCAAAGAGTTTTTCAAGATAGATGACCTCGTCGAGTTAGAAAAAGAAACCATCTCCATAGTTCTCACAGCTGGCACAGTGGTGGTGTTTGCTGTTTCTTTGTTTGCAATGTGTCATGTCGGGGCTAGTACACTCCTAGCTATAACGTTCGACCTTCTAATACTGGAAGCAGCAGCTATTATGAAAACATTTGGAATCTACCTGGATCATGTGGTTTTCATTTCTCTTTTTGTGGCGATCATGCTGTCCTTGAATTTTAGTATTGAAGTGTGCCATTCGTTCGTACTCTCGGCCAAGCGAGACATACAAGGTCGCATGATTGATGCTCTTCGCTCCGTTGGAGTATCCGTGCTGGGAGGCACTTTGATATCCCTATCAGCTTCTGTTTGCTTGGGATTTATTTTTCCCAGTCTAGCAGATATTTTCCATCTGCTACTTTCCTCGGTGTTCGCTTTGGGGTCCATCCATGCTCTTCTTGTTTTCCCGACGGTCCTTGCATTGTTTGAGGAATTAGTGCACAATTTTAGCTCCAAGATTAGCCAAGAGGAAATAGAACACTTCGTGGTAGCAAATGACTCAATATCAATGGAAGCACGGAATGGCGACATAAGAAAGCTCAAAGCTAAACGTTCCGGGATCTCCATTATAGGCATTAGTTGTAGATTCCCCGGTGCTCACAGTAAGAACCTCTTTTGGGCCTTGCTTGAACAAGGAAAGAGCTCCATTCGTGCGTTTCCCGAGAACAGAACACAGCAGCATAAAGCGTTTGTTGAGTTCTACAACCCCAAGCGTTTCGTAAATGGACGCTTTTGTGCCATCAATGGTTCCTACTTGGAAGAAATTAAGACTTTCGACAACAGGTTCTTCGGTATCTCCAATCAAGAGGCACGTGCAATGGACCCTCAGCAAAGAATACTCCTTCAAGTAGCCTACGAGGCAATAGAAGATGCAGGAATGCGGCTTGAAGACTTACAAAAGTGTAGAACAGGTGTTTTTGTTGGCGTGATGAATATCGAATACGGTTCTCTTTTGGCAGACCGCTCAAATTACTCCTACATCGATCAGTATACCTCAACAGGGATAACAGCATCTATTCTTGCCAACAGAGTGTCATTTTGCCTTAATCTGACCGGACCAAGTATTGCCGTGGATACAGCATGTTCCTCATCGCTGACTGCTCTTAAACTAGCTTATGATAGCCTGCATAACGATGATTGTGATATAGCTATCGTTTGCGCACCCAATGTCGTCCTTAACCATTCCATGCAGATAATATCCAGTATGGCTGGACTTCTTGCCCCGGATGGCCGTTGCAAGAGTTTTGATGCTTCTGGAGACGGTTATGGACGCGGAGAGGGCTTTGCAGCGGTTGTACTCAAACTGTCAAAGGATGCTCTTTGTGACAAAGACGATGTATATTGCGAGATCCTTGCATGTGGAATGAACAGCGACGGTCAAAATGCTGTCCCGATCACCGCTCCAAGTGCCAAGATGCAAGCTCAGTTATCAAGAAGCGTGCTAGAGCAGTCAGGAGTGGCCGCAGGAGACGTGGATTACTTCGAAGCACATGGGACTGGTACCGCGATTGGTGATGTAGTGGAAGTCAACTCCATAGCAGATACCTACTCCAACCTGGCCGCAAATTCTTCACGAAAATTGAGAATTGGCTCTGTCAAATCTAATCTCAATCATACGGAATCTACTTCTGGTCTTGCTGGACTTATTAAGGTCGCCCTGATGATAAAAAACAAGACCTTTGTACCCACCATCAACGTCAAGGTGTTGAATCCCAAACTAAAGCTTGAAGAAAAAGGGATTATTCTACAACAAACTCGTGAGTCTTGGAAAACAGAAAAGGGAAAACCGCGAATAGCAGCCGTTAATTCGTTCGGTTTTGGTGGGTCAAATGTGCATGTTATTCTTCGCGAAGCTACAGCAACACCAAGCTTCCAAGTGGAAAACTTCAAACGCAAGAATAACGTTCTTACTATCACAGCACGTTCTCTAGAAGCTCTTAAAAAGCTGTCACGCCTTTACTCCAGGTGGATTAAAGACAACGCTGAAGAAATGAATGAACACTTTGTGGAAAACTTATGTTTCTCGTTGAACGAACGTCGAAGCCAGTATCCGCATCGCCTGGCAGTTGCCTTTGGGCCTCCTTCCGAAGCATCGAAGTCACTAGAAGCTTTTGCTGATGACACCGTTGGTTGGGAAAAGACCGCTTCTTATGCTGAGGTGACCTCAAGCGATAGGAAACTGGTTTTCATGTTTGGGGGTCAGGGATCACAATGGTATGCCATGGGAAGGCAATTAATGGAATGCGAAACTGCTTTCAGAGAGGCAATTTTGACTGTTAGCAGCTTACTGAGAGATATGGGACAGACGTGGTCACTTGAAGACGAATTGATGGCACCAGAAGACATTTCGCGAATATCGGAAAACTACATTGCCCAGCCAGCCACGTTCGCTGTACAGTACGCAACCGCACAGCTGCTTAAGTCCTGGAAAGTCCATCCGTCTGCTGTTATTGGTCACAGTTTAGGAGAGTTCGCAGCTGCCTGTGTTGCTGGAATCATCACTGTCAAGGAAGCACTTCAGCTGGTACTAACTCGCTCCACTCTTCAAGACAAATGCCCAAGCAATGGAAGTATGGCTGCCCTGGGCATGCCTGAGATAAAGGCCAGGGAACTGCTTTTCAATCTAAGGTTAAGCGCCACCCTCGACATAGCGGCAGTTAATGATGCAAAAAGCGTCACTGTAGCTGGTGAGTCGCAGTCCATCGAGGCACTGGGACAACACCTTTCGATGAACGCAAGAGATGTTTTCTGGCGTGTTCTTGGAACAAATCGTGCATTTCACAGCTCACACATGGAACCCATCAAGAAACCATTTCAGGTAGCTATGAAAAGTGTACAGCTAAACCCTCAACTATCGAAGATTCCAATGTACTCTACCGTTGAGGGCGAAGTTGTCTCGGGTCAGCAGTTAAACAGCGATTATTGGTGGCGAAATATACGCTGTCCTGTTCGCTTCTACTCGGCAATGAAACATCTACTGAGAGATGGTTACAAGCAGATAATTGAGATCAGCACGCAGCCAATTCTTGCCCACTACGTAAAACAGATAGCTCTTCAGGAGAATTTGACGGAACAGGAAAGGCCCGTTGTTGTCGCAACTCTTCCACGTAAGAGAGTGCCCATCAAGGAGCAACACAAATGCTTTCTTCAGAACACAATATGCAGATTGTATACCATGGGATTTCCCGTAGACTGGACCTTGGTACAGGGGAGCCAATCAGCCAGGTTTATCCGGTCCCCAACATCTCCATGGCTGGAAAACAGTTTTTGGTACAGGGAACAACCACCGCAATCAACAGTCCACCCAATTAGCTCTAAGGAAACCTTATGGAAGCCAACACATCCTTATCTGGCACAAGTCAAAATGACCGACTTATACTCAGGCCTGCACTGCTGGGAGACTGAGATTGACCTTTTCAATTTTCCATCTCTAAAGGACCACGCCCTTATTGAAGGAGGTGCCGTGATGCCCGGGGCTGCTTACCTGGAGATGGCCTTTGCAATGGTAAAGGACGAATTCGTACATACTTCTGGCCTGGAACTTGGTGATGTGAAACTTTCAAGTCTTCTCACTCTTCCTGAAACACAGGTAAGCGTAGTATACACATAAATTAGAGACAAGCCATATCAGCTAGGTTGATTTTATCGCAACTTTTTATCCTTTGTTCTTTAGGTTAGATCCTTACGACTTCGCCTTTTAAAGACCGACAAAATAGACAAGGCTCAGTTTCACATTACAAGCATGCAGGACGACCAGTCTGAAATTATTTTGAGTAGTGGAAACATCTCGGTCGATTTCTTGGACACAAAAACAAACAGCGAGGAAGAAGGTATTATAATATTCAAATGCGTTTGCGATTATCCATTTATAGCCTATTTATTTATCCACCCATTTATGGTCATGATTGCAAGAGACTATAACTATCACATAGAAATTAAAAGGAGACATTTCCCCGTTTTGGCCTTTTACAGCTTGCAATCAAGTTGGCCCAGCCGTCAACGAGCTAATCAGAAATATGAAAGAGGTGCCGATTGAAGGATTCAGAGAATTAACTCAAAAGTATGGCTTTCAGTATGGTGGTGCCTACTCCATCATCAAACAGACATGGCACCGCGAGCACGAGGGACTTTGTCTGATCGATATCCACGAATCAGCCATCGTTCAATCAGAAAGTAAAAATTATGTTGTCCACCCCTCCATTTTGGACGCGTGTCTGCAGTCTTGCTTTATCCCACTTGGAATCTTAGCTACTGATGAAAAATCTGTTTTACCGGTGGGATTTAAGGGCATCACGCTGTACCATGTTCCAAATACCAATCAACTTTATTGTCACGTCGTTGAGGATGCCAAAGAGTTCGGGAAATTCGACATCACGCTTATGAGTCCATCTGGAAGGGTTTTACTAACTATGAGAGAGTTCCGTATCGCAGAATTGAACAGCACACCACGCCGATTTACTTCTGATGGCCTTGTTTATGAAATGAAGTGGATGGAGGAGAATTTACAAGGACAAAGAGCAATGGCGCCAAACTTGACCTGTCTTCTTCTCAGGGACAGCTCCCCTTTCTCAGACATCCTAATCGGCAAGCTTCACGCTGCAAGAGTCAATGTAATCCCAGTTGATCCACCCAATGCTCTATTTTTTGATACAGAAACAAAAGAAACAATCAGCAGAGAGCTTACTGCCCTACATTCGATCCCTTCATCCATGCTCAAAGTCGTCAACTTGTGGCCAGTAGAAACCGCTCTCCTACCAAATAATTTCGATGTTATCGAAAAAGCACAAAACCTCGCCTTCAGCAGCTCAGTTTTCTTAATTCAACAGCTTACAAGAAACCATTTTCTCGATTCTCGGCTTCTGCTCGTGTCTGAAAGTACACAGCTCCTAAGTACCACAACGAAATCTCACAACGACTCCATTCCTTGGGCTTCTACAATCTGGGGTCTTCGCAGAACAGCAAAGCTCGAAGAATCTGATCTTAGGATTACCACGATTGATCTTGGCGACAAAAATGATAATGATGAGATAGATTTGCTTCTTTCTGAAATCCTCGGCGATAGTATGGAAGAAGAGATTGCCTTTCGAGATAGAAAGCGGCTCATAAATCGCGTTGTGAGATCAAATATTTGCACCGAGCAGCCCACAATACACAGTAATGTTAGCGACTGGGGTTCTTTATACTTGTCATCCATTCCTGCTTCACGGAAGGTCTGCTTTCGCCAGAGGAGTTTTTCGCGGCCATCGCCCTCCGAGGTCGCAGTAGAACTGCTTTATTGCTGGACACCCTCTGAGTCAATACTTGATGTAGCCAAACCAGATGCTTGTGTTTTCACCGTGGGAAAGGTGATTCATCTACCAAGGGAAGCTGCAAGTAGTCAGATACAAATTGGAGACGTTGTGTGCGGCGTTATGGCGTCTGGACGAGTTTCTCGTTCCGTTCCCATGCAAGTCAGGAACATTTTTGTAAAGCCAGCTATTTTGACGCAAGAGCAAGCAACATACATCCCTGCCTGCCTTGCCATAGCCTTTCACGCCCTACAACGGATAGGAACGATGGAAGAAAAGAAGAAGTTACTGATTCATCAGGCTCACCGTGGCCCTGGGCCTGTGGCAGTTGCCCTTGCAAAAGCATTGGGTCATGAAGTATTTTGCACTATCTCAGATACTTGCCAATCAGTGACAGAATCCACCCTTCTAGAGCTGGGAGCAAAGAGTGTAGCACATCAGAGTCTCACTAGTTTTGAAAATGATTCCATCGACGCTTTTGATGCAGTTTTGTTTTTCTACCCACCCTCTCCGAACGCTCTCCAAAAAAGCAGTCGACGTCTTATACGTGGAGGAAAAGTCGTTATCTTGGGAGCCGAATTTGATGGTGCCGTCGTGTTCCCTGCAAGGAAAAACGTCCTGTATGTAAGAGAAAGCATTTCAGATATCATCCGATCACCGAAGACTTATCAAAAGCTCAGCTTAGAGAGTCTAGAGCTGCTGAAAGGTAGTGGAGTTCTACAAAAGCTTCTGGAACTCAAGTTACTATCGACAGACATACCCACGGCAATTGAAGCTGCAAACAAAGCCACTGTGAAAGACTCACCTCCAAAAAGGGTCCTGAGAGAATTTCGAGGCATTTCTTTTCTGGTTCACTCTTTTGCACCATCTGAAGGAGGCAATGATCTTCTAACGATCCCCGTACTTCCACGAGGTCTGGATCTGTGTGGTCTCAAAGAAAACAGAACGTACTTGGTGGCTGGGGGGACCAGAGGATTCGGATTTGAGGTGGCACGTTGGATGGCCGAGAATGGAGCAAAGTCTATAGGACTGATTGGTCGTTCCAAGCTCTCAGATACAGAGTATCAAAAAGTACGAGATTTAGAGACGAAGACAGATGCAAAGTTCTATACGTTCCAGGTAATTTGGTGCGTTACCTTTAAGGTAGTCAATAGTCAAACGGTTACTACTTCATTTTCGCAACTAGAAATGCTAAGTTGCATTTGTACAATACTTGGAAAGTAACTTTACCTGAAGCACAACGCACGCCAAGAATTTTAAAGACTGTTTTCTATTTTGTTTTTATAGATTGATATCTCCAGCCAAGAGCAAATGTTTTCCTTACAAAAGCAGCTCCAGTCTCTTCCAAGTGTAGCTGGAATAGTACATTCTGCTATGGTTCTCCGAGACGAATACATCAAAGATTGGAAATTTGAAAGTTTCACAGAAGTTATGGGTCCTAAGATCAAAGGTGACTATCGGCACTACTTCATATCGCATACTTTAATATTTCCTTTAACATCCTTTGTATATTTTATTGACCCAAAAAAATCGAGTTATACCTTTCAACACTTATAAATATCAAATAATAATCATTCAACTTCTAGTCTGTGTTTGTTTTCCATTTCATCTTGTATTAATATATGATAAAAGTGCGATGAAAGTTCGAGTGCACCTAAACACACACGATCATATCTGTTTACCATAGGTGAAAGTAGCCCAAATTAACTACGAAAACTAAGTGTACCTGAACATTCAAAGACACTTGAGCACTATCAATTACTTATTTTCATTTCTTTAAATTGGATTGTGTATATATTATTATCTGGATAACGTATTACATAACATATCTTGATTTTATGAATGAAATGGAGATTGTAAGTGTGATATTTCTTCTAGGTTCCTTTTTACTACACCAAATGAGTTTGGAGATGGATCTAGATTTCTTTGTTATGTTCTCATCTATGGCATCTGTTGTTGGAATCGTGGCATCTTCGTCATACTCAGGCTGTAATGCTTTCCAAGATTCTCTTGCCCAGTATCGAAGACAGGTACTCGGTTTGCCCGGACTTTCGATAAATTGGGGACCAATCAGTGGAGCTGGTGTTATGCAACGGCAGAGTAATATTGCAAAATTGATGGCAGTTGGAGGACTGGGCTTCATAAACGCCAGAGATGGTAAATATGATTTTTGTAACACGCTAATAGTGGTTTTGTATAAGAATTTGATTATTCTCATGGGTAATAATTAATGGATTTAAAAGACAAAAAAATTATATCGTTTAAAATAGTGAAAGCAAATGAAAATGAACATGGCTTTTCATATAGTTTGTGAGAGAATAGTTGCGTCCACTGCTCTTGATGCTACAAGGTAAGCCGAGGGAGAGAAATGAGCGTTTTAAAAGCGTAGATGAAGAAGCGGTTCACTCCGGGTGACATTAGTTTAAGATCGGCAGCTGACGGTTTTCAGCCAGTAGACGACATTCTTTACTTATCAAAACGTAAGCCACGTACTGGAATTTTTTCTTAAAGTACCCAGTCTTACCTATTTCCCCTGTATGAAAGGTGACTGCTTTTTGTACGTTAAGAGAAAAATTGTTCATCAGTAGTTTCCATGGAAGATTTTTGATTACTTTTCAGGAGTCAATCTGATGGCCAAGGTTTTGACCGAGGAGCCGAGCCGTTTCCAAGTCTCTTTATTTGGTGTGGACTGGCCTCGGTATATTAACAGTAATACCGGACTACAAAATACGTCCCGACTCTCAATGTTCACCTCAGAAATCAGTGTTTCTGAGAGCCAAACTAACGCAGCAGAGTCTTTACTGCAAAGAATTCGGTTAGAGAAGGACCCAGATAAGAAAGGCGAACTTATCGTTGAGTATGTTCGCATCTCGGTTGCGGAATTGACAGGCAGTTCGTCGCTTTCGGAGACGGATCTAAACAAAAGCTTGTATAGCTATGGTATTGACTCCACTGCAGCTTTGACTCTGAAGATGATGCTGGAGTCAAACTTGCAGGTCTCTTTTGAGGTGTGTATGTCATTAGATAACTGAAAAACAATGAATTTGTAATTTTCCCAGCTGGTGCATTTAAGAAAGTCCCGTTGGAATATCCTTATACGTATCTTGTAACCAAAATTTCTTTTAGTTTGCATAGCAGCATTGTTCTAGGAAATACTCCAATTAAGAACAATTCATTTCGATTCAATTGAGAGACGATTCTCTTGAACCATCGATACTACTAAATACACCCCTATATACCCATATAAGGATCATGCCCTCATGTGTGTGGATGGTTTAATGGAATTAAAAGTTTCTATAATCATTCTTCTTACCTGGAAATAGTGAATATTTAATCAAATTTAAACGTACGGTAGTGAATTATGTTCAATCGAAACGTCGATGCATGTTAAACTTGTAATGTTTGAAACTCTTGTCTTTAGGTTTACTACTTCATGCAGCCTGACACTACTACACTAAAAATGGCCAGGGACATCAGTGCCAGGCTTCGTGGAAAAGCAAGCAGCCCGCAGAATAGCGAGAGCCAAGAAAGTGCACCCGGACAAACTCAGTCATCGGAGGAAACAAATACTTCAGACATGCCGTCCAAGAAGGAGGTTCAAGTCTTACCTCTTTACACTCCTGAGGGATCAGCAATAAAGTTCTTCTGTGTTCACCCTTCACATCGCTACGCGTTGAATTTGGTTCCCATTTCTACCGGATTTCAAGGACAGGTGGGTATCTGACCGTTATAGAATTTATTTAGCCCCTCAGCCAATGATATAAACATCATTTCAACATCTTTTTTTATCAGCCACTTTACATTTAGTTGTACAGCCAAAGAAATATTTTGCTCTCGTTGTTATAGTTTCAAGGTAATGTGAATCCTGTGGTGACCATAAGGCTGAGGTCGCTTCTCAACCCAGATCTTAGATGATCTTGAAGTTTTAAGTATCTGACTCTTTAGTATTCTTCGCTTGACCCGGTAGCGAAAGGGGCTAAACAATTATTTGACGCAGTTTACAGGGGTCACATATTCTGGAGATGATAATGATTTCTTCTCCTCCGGATCAACTCCACATTCTTTAAACTTCGTTGATTTGGGCTTTCTCTTGCCCTTTATAAAAGTACACGTCAGAGATTTCAAACACTTTCATCGTGTGGCTCGCATCTTTTATTCGTCTTTACTAGGACTTAGTATCCTTTTATGCTTTGGGATTTACTGATCCTACGGTCATCAGTGAGGACTGGGGTGGAGTGCGTGAGCTTGCCGCTCATTACGTTCAGCTGATCACCAACGAACAGCGCCATGGACCGTACTTTCTCGGGGGATATTCATATGGAGGACTTGTAGCGTACGAAATGGCTTCCCTGTTAACAGAACAGAATCATCGGGTGGAGTTCCTTGTAATGATTGACACATTTCCTTGGTCACTGCGTTCACGGACCATAACCACTCGGTTATTTTCCGCGAAGGAAGACGGATGGTTGCCATCGCGACATGTTCAGGTTTGTTAAACATTTCAAAGTTCTGTAAATCTTTTATATTGTTTTAAATTGTTTTCATTGAAACAAGAAATACCTCACTCATAGACATCTTCATAAAGGAAATGAATAAATTTTAGGATTTTTGTCCTTAATTGAGGATTTGTGGACATATTGTATTACCCATGCCTCATCAGGTGATTTTATGTTCAGTGTGACTCTTCCGATTTCTTTGTTCGTGAACTCTGCGTAAGGAATGCTTTTTCAAGGAATCATGATTTATACGGGTGAATTTCAAATTCGTAGAGAACAATAAAACATTATTTGACGAAACCAAAAAGTAAGGTAAAACAGAGAAATTTTCTCCACGGTGTTTAGAGAATAATCCAGGCGTACTTGTTAACCACCCGTTCCAATCGGTGTACCACTTTTTGGAGGCTTTATCTGTTCCTATTCTAATATTTTAGTGCCCAAGAAAAATTAACAGATGCTGTCAATCTCTCTATTCAGCTTCAATTCGAAAGCTACTTGGAAAAGCTTGCAGTAGACTCCCTAAAGATGAATGTTGACGAATATAAACAAATTAGAGATACACATACTCAAGACTGGATCATTGATGAGTTGCAGAAAAGAAGCCTTACGAAAGGTCTTACCACCTACAATTTAAGGACCCTAAGAGAAGCTCTTCTGAGGAATCAAACCTTTGCCAATAGGACGCATCAAGAATGGCAGCCTGCTGAGGTAAGAGGCACCCTTACTGAATGCCGATATCCATATAATCGTGTTTTAAGGGGCAAGTTGTCCAAATGCCCTTTGGTCAACAAGAAGAATATTAAACCATGAGACATTATCAATTTATTGGAAACATACTAAGTATTGGTAAATAACTTAAGTAAACTTTTTCATGCTTTATGTTTAATAGGTTCGCTATCGAGGTCCTCTCACATTCCTCAGATGTCAGAACAGCAGATTTTTCCCCCGTAATCCCACATCACGGGGCATCGGGGAAGAATGGAGTCAGTTGGTAGATGAAGGTACCACAGTACTCGTGTGCCCTGGTGACCACTACTCCTTAAGTGAGTTACCTCAAGCACAAGTAACTGGTGGTATCCTTGCAACAGCCTTGGGCTTCACCTACCGCATGTTGTTTCCAGAATTCCCCACACCTCCCAGAACGTTCAACCAAAGACGTGCCGTGGGGAAACTTTCTGGCGGTGTAGGCGTGTTCCTTCACTCAAAAAAAGGTAATTTGAAAAGGGCCTGTCCTCCGCTCGTTGTTTAATGGTATAATATCCTCTTTAAAGGTGTATTCTAGATTTTGACTGCTTATATGGCTCCTCTAAAAGTCATTGTTTAAATGAGAATGAGTTTGTCACTCGCTTTGTAACTCCCACTCCTGAGGCCATTTACATTGTTTTCGCAGTGTTATAATTGGCCCATGCGGTATTTTCTATTTTCATGGCTGGCCATTGTCATCTTTATGCTTTTGGTCCAACTTCTTGAAATCGCAAAGTGTTGTATAAAAAAAAGGTTTAGAAGACAAGTGCATAAACTTGATATTTTGCTTATTGTTTCTTTCTTTACAATGCACGAAATAAACTGTCAGAGATCTGCCTCAAAACAAGATTTAGACATAGACAAACGTATCCTGTTTGAATCTTATGGGTAACAAATTTCTGTTATACTAGGCAACAAAATGCCGCATCACGGAATGCTATTTTTCCATGAAGATGCCCACAAACTTGAGCTGAGATCAAAACCTGGCGAAGAAGAAGGAATTCAAAACGAAAAAACTAAAAAGATCATTGATCTGAAAGGTAAATAAACTTTTTAGTCTACACATCTTTATCAATCTTTTTGTCCTTCGTGAATATTTTTTCTTGGGACGAATTCCCTGAGATAGGAAACATGCTTCTTTGTCAAAAGAAGATCAAGCGCTGAAACCGAATCCCTCATACAGGTCTTACCTCTCCGAAGTTATGTCTAAGATCTGGACATCGGGTCTCTTAAGAAGAGTGTCGCATTTATTTCGTATTTTGTTTCAATGAATTTATCAGTGGAGATCATGCTGGGTTAACTGATTTGGCAAGGAAACGATTGAAGAATTACTTGAGAGGGAATACCATAGCAATAACGCCCATGTGGAAGTTAAAGTCCCTCAACTTGATCCTCTTCTATTTGTTTACCCAATACTTTCAAGTTAAAGATGAGGTCTGATACCTGTCAGGTTGTTATATTTGCTTTTAGCGAGATACTCGACCTTCACTGTCACACTTAGCCCTCATTTGGACGCCCTGCACCCCGTGACACAACGAATACCATTGCTGTCTTAGGGAAATTTGAAAAACTGCAGGGGGTGGTCCACAGAAGAGATCGAGGTAATTCTAACTCCAGACTCCAGGTCCTATCCTTAAGGATTATTTATTCCTGCAGCATGTGCATGCATTACAGAATCTTGCTTATAACTCATGAAATTCAACGTTTTTCAGAACTTCGCATGGTGCAGCCAGGAAGGTTTGTCTCCAGTGCCCTGAAGTATACCTGGCGAAAACGAAGAGTTGGAGGTTATGAAAGTGGAAATTTGGGACACATTGCTTCTGTTGCAACCAGTCGCCGCGTGTACAATTTGGAATTTTGTGATTATTCCGACTTAAAAGCGTTTTACGACATGGTAGAAGCTGTGTTCGCTGTCAAGCTATTGACTATCTAGAAATTTAGTCGTGATATTCGGTAGTATTCAGGAATGAATTTGCTAGTTTGAAGTTTGAAGTATCAGTGTCAACGGACACTAAAAATTTAATTATAGTTTCTACCTTTTTATCCGGCCTACATTAAGGAACTGTGCTCAAAAAACATCGATAAATAGATGAAGAAACCGTTTTTCAACTTAGATTTGACATGTTAATCGCATTCTCGTTCGACTACCACTCCTCATCCTTTGCGATAACATCGATAGATAGAATAAAACGTTTTGAAATATTTTTATTGGAAAAGTTGAGAAGCACTGGACCAATTTATGAAAACGGAATGATTTAATTGACAAGAAGCTTGCGTAGTAACCTTTTCCTCAGTTAAGCCAATCAAGAGAAGTGTTGGCTGGGCAAAAGTGATGTGCAGGCTTGGATGAAAACTTCCTATCGCCTTTTTATTTTCCTCCCCATTCGCTCTTGTTCCTCGTGCTTGGACAAAAAGATTGGATATTTGGATAATTGAATTTTAAAAGAATGTCGTACACTTTCCTTTTTGAGGCCCCAAATTTGGGTGATAATAATTCTCTAAACTTGATAAACTTCATCAGGATGTTACAACAAACAGAACTTTTTTTTTTGTTTCATAGCCTCACTTGAGGCTCTCGTTTCCTTTCTAATAGGTAATGGCGTTTCATTGGCCCTGGTATGAATACATTTAATAAATCTGTAACATGCAAATTTTTTAATAGTTAAATCAATAATATTCCATTACTGAAAAGTGTTTTGATTAGGTAAGACATATAAATTTTTAAAACTTAGGTAAGCTGAGAACAAAAAAAGCCTTGAAGATACCGCTGCAAAACGATGAGGTCTTAGACTGAGTTGTTTTAATTATCAATAAAATTGTATAATTTTTTAATCAGAGATATTATCTATTATTTTCAACTAAATAAACAAATCCATATGTTGAGGTCTGGACCGCAAGTCTTTGAAGCTGACCTGTGTACAGAGGTCACTTGTACATAGAAGAGGCGGTCACCCTTTAGATTCCCGAATCCAAAATGTCACCATCATTATTTACCTGTACATAACGGTCACCGAACTGGATTACCATTGGCGAATCATGACAAACTTTATGTCACGGCTTATTATTAAAATTGTAGCTATTGGGGTAGGGATCTCACTGAATACAACGAATAGATGCTACATGTCATTGCTTGTGACCAAAATATGCTCGCGACATAATCGTTTTCAAACAAACGTTCCCCTCTCATAACTAAAGTAGGAACCATGAGAACTGTATTTTATTGTGAGGAAACTCAATGGCGTCCTACATGGGATCAAGTTTCGCGTTCTGAAATCTCAGTAACCCATAACATATATTTTTTCGTCATGAATAATCTTTAATGGTAAGTATGAGTGTCATTGTACGCCTTTACTATAATGAAACTCAGCAAAAACTTAAATAAACTCGACCTCCATAAAAGTCCGGCACAGGCGGGCCCTTACTCTTATTTCTTGTGTCGCTGTTAATTGTTATTGTTAACAAAATGCGAAAGAGTAATTATCTTTACATAATTTTTAAATGTCTGTCAGTATGCGGCACCCTTATTTAAGGGTCACCTAGCCATTCCCCAAAAGTAACCGTTACATACAGGTTGACCATATACATAGATACAGTTATTTTCCAAAGCGTCCTTGACGTGCTGGTGGAATGCGTCAATTTCGACTTTGTGTAATGTGGTAAATGGGTCGGCAACGTCGCGTAGCCAAAGTGGTGTCGTTTGTCAGCAAGTAAAAAGGGAGAGTTCCATGTCGTTCTACATCACAATTTCTACGACAACAACGGAAACTGGCGCCCTCGTGGCTGTTCAATGTAGCTGTTGTACCGATGATGAACAGGGGGTACCCTTGACCTAACGATCGCTTTATTCCTTTACAGGAATAAACATCCCTCCCCCCATAGAAGAGCACATTAACATACTATTATAGACACCGGGTTCTACGTAAAGAGTTGAAACATTTCCTCAAAATTCACAGCTGTACCACTAAGGACGGCTAAATGTGAAAGATGTTAAACACCTCCTTCTGCCAGAGGTGGCTGTAACTGTAAACAGCTTATGCCTTACATCTTCCGTGCTGAATTTTAAATTAGATAACTTGTTGTAGCTTTTCTGGGGGCGGTACTTATGTACGCCCTTTCTTCTCCGAAGTTTCTGTTAATTCTGTTGTTATGTAACAGTCTTCTATGGCTATTTTCTCTTAAGATATCCTTCCAAGTATGATTATAATTCTTTCAATAAGTTTATTATAATTTTCATATTGCCAATCTCGTTTTCGTTTTACCAGAGTTTAGCTGGAAACATAAGAAATTTAGGGAAGACATTTTGACGAGATTCAACATCTCGAAGGTACATGCTTAATATGCAGGAACTGTTCCTCGTAGATTAGCCTGATTCGCTAACTAAGAAAGAAAAGATGAGGATATCTGAGGATTGACAGCTTAGCAAGTGTCACTTTTATAAACTGGCGACCAGCATTCTCACTCAGATCTGAGCTAATTCCCGAGGCAATAAGTTGTACAAGAAGAACAGAAGAAAGAAGTTGTTAACTGTACGTGGAGTGTTAGTTAAATCATCTAACAAAGACAATCTTTTCTTAAAAGACGTCATAATGATTCATAACTGCATTAAGAGATTAGCGCCAAGCTACTCAACCAAAAATTTTACTGATAATTTTACTATTAGTAATAGAATCACTCGAAACCTAGCTTATGTCTACCTAAGTGCAGACTGTCTACTGATCAGTCGTCTTTCATTTTCAGAGGCGCCAAAAACTTTACACGCATTCCCAATAATAATGGGGATCAACTGCCTCACCACCTGATCTCAGGGTCACTTATTTTACTATCTCGATTTTTAACTTGTTTAGATCGTAATCTTTTGTAGTATAGGTAATTTATTATTTACCACTGCTGTTGTCTTCTGTACCTTCCATTGGTTAAAATATGGGGTCAGAGGGAGTTTCAATACAGAAAGACCTGCCAAAATAATGATTATCCTCCAAATATCAAGTAAGTAAGAATGCAGGATGAATTAAGGATTAATCTTAACCACCATTTTAGCCAACACGAAACATGCACAATCATGATGTAATTTGAAGGTAATAAGTCAATGTCTGGTATCTTATATGTTTTGCACCAAGGCAATATTTTTGATGTTAAGATGCAGACATCCTTTTCAAACATGGCTTAGCTTATTGATTTTCTACTTACCAAGTTCATTTCTGTCGCCAAGAAAAATTTCTCCATCGATAGCAGAAAATGACACGCGCGTGTGATGGCGATTGCCAATCTTGCCACTCACACGTTTCAAGACATGGTTATAAATATTTATCAAATGTCAGTAATGATTAACAATTATTCCATGAGCGTGTTTGGGATATAAGATGGTAAATAGCTATTGAGGCGTGTAGCGACGAGTTGGCTATAACCAATCACGTATCTAACAAGCAGAAATGGAGTAATTGTTTTGTAAAATTTCAGCGATTCCTGAATGTTTGGATGTTTCCTTTTTTCAGCTCCGAAACACTTGGCAATGTATTTCCATGTAAGGTGACTCAGAATATGAGCTGATAGCCTCATAAATTTCATGGTTTAGTTTATTCAGATTTTTATCATTAAGTGTAGTAAATGCCACTTGCTTATTGAAGATCTTTTTAAGGTTTGAAACTGTTGGATAGTATTCTGTTATTATAAAGGACAAGATTCGATTGTTTGTTTTCCCTGTCGGAGGAGGGCCCGTTTACGTCCTTTAAATTTCACTTTAGAGAGTAGGTTGTCAGTAAAGTTTTTCTGGTAGTCTGTCTCAGCCAGGTATGCTTTGAACTGTCTAATGTTCTATTCAAATTTTCCTTTTGAAGAAGTAGTCCTGGGGGTCGTAACGCTTCGCCTTCAACGAAGCCTTTTTCTTTGCTCCTGGTAGGTGACACGTTGTGTAGAATTGTGTACTTAGATGCATCTGTTAGTTTGAAGTGGGTTCTCATGTCGAAAACTGACTCCTCGTTAAATCTTTCACCCTTAGGGATAGTAGCTTCTAAGAAAGTAGCTTCTAAAAAGAGACATTTCAGATGTAAATTTAATTGTTGGGTGGGGTTTATTCGCTTGTCCAAAGAACTGGTTGATGACATATCTGTTAATGTGAAAGAAAAAGAAATTATGTCGTCGATGTTGCGTTTCCAAACGAGCACCTTTATTTAGGATATGCAAAACTAAAAGCTACTGCCATTTTGGGGCCCATGGCGATTTCGTGCGTTTGCAAGTAAATCTGTTCGTTGAATTGGGATAGGTTTCCCTGAAAAATTAGCCTAAGTGCTTTCTCTAAAGTAAGCACTTTAGGCGTATATTTGTGTTCGAAACTGTAACGTCCATTGAAACGAGTATCACCTCTTTTGGAAGCTTTGTTTTTTCTATGAAGTTGATGAAGTCCGTTGTTTCTTTGAAATATGATTTCTGTTGTTGGCTGAAAAATTTTATCTGTTTAACAGGATAGTTTCTCTCTGTTGGTCCTTCCGTGGATGGAGTTTTTGTCTCACTCAAACACACCGAGGAACAACTATTTTTATGCTGGCTAAATATGCATTAAGCAGTTGTGATTTTCTGAGTCTATATTATCAATATTGTAAAGGCTCTAATTTGTCCATCAGGTGGCGGTGAGCTGGAGTAACTTGGGTCTAACCCGGCAGGATTAAAAATGAAATTTTCATCCCGGCAGGATTGCGGAAGGGAGTGAAAACCAGTGGACGGAGGCAGGATTGGAAAAGTCTATTTTTTCTTGTGAAGTTAATGTTCCTAGATGTTAAAGTCTTGTCTCATGAGACAAAGATGTAATGAAAACAAAGTTGAGCACACTCGTTTATTTTATTATAACCTTTTTTTCATAAAAACATTCAGGCCGAGATCAACCAAAATTTCAGAAGCATGCTAAGAACGTACTCAGGCTGAATGTTTACCATATTTCTT